TACTATTAATATTTCTTCATCCTCATTTGGAAAATTAAATTCAAAATTATCTTCATACATATCAATATTCCAAGAATTAAGTTGCTCACTTATTTCTATGTAATTAAAAACAAATTATTATTATTAACATTAATAAATAGTATTATCATTATTATAATTATGACTAATTTTATTTACCTTTATTTTGTGAAGTTGACATTTTGTTGTTTAATAAAAAATTAAAAAATTTAAAAAAAAACTTTGATTTTGTATTGTTGTTAGAAAAAATTAATTTTTTTAAAAAATTAAAAATATTTTTAATAAAATATTTTTAAAAAAATCACTTTAATTAATGAAATATATTAAAACGCGGTTGATTATCCGATCTGAAAGAAATATTTTTAGTAGAACTTCTGAGATGATCTTTAGATTGACAAATCCGAGAATTTCAGAATATCTGACGATCTGATATTAAGAAAAGCCTAGCCATTTAGACTTTTAAAAACGATGTATAATTGTTCTCTGATTTGAAAGAAATATTTTAGTAGAACCTCCGAGATGATCTGAGAATTTCAGAATATCTGCCTTTAATTGGTAGAATTTCCGAGATGGAAGTTTCAGCCTGAGAATGAGAAGATCTGATATTAATTGGATTTTCAAAGAACGATGTTATTCATCTTTGTAGCGAGAACGATTTTGAATTATCGTTATTGCAAGAAAGAATTCATAATTATCATTCTAGCAAGAACGATTCCAATATATCGTTCATGCAAGAACGATCGCGAAATTATCATTCTATCAAGAATGATTCCATTTTATCGTTCTTACATGAACGATTCCAAAATTATTGTTCTAACAAGAACTATTTTGGGTATTATCGTTCTAGCAAGAATGATTTCAATACCATCATTCTAGCAAGAATGATTCCCGATATCATCATTCTAGCAAGAACAATATTGATACCATCGTTCTAGCATGAACGATTTCGATATCATCGTTCTAGCAAGAACAATTTCGATATCATTGTTCTAGCATGAACGATTTTGATATCATCGTTCTAGCAAGAACGATTTTGATATCATCGTTCTAGCAAGAACGATTTCGATATCATCATTCTAGCAAGAACGATTTCGATATCATCGTTCTAGCAAGAACGATTCCGAAATCATCGTTCTAGCAAGAACGATTCTGAAACATCGTTCTAGCATGAACGATTCCGAAATCATCGTTCTAGCAAGAACAATTTTGAAATCATCGTTCTAGCAAGAATGATTTTGAAATCATCATTCTAGCATGAACGATTTCGATACCATCGTTCTAGCAAGAACGATTTCGATACCATCGTTCTAGCAAGAACAATTTCGATACCATCGTTCTAGCTAGAACGATTCCCGATATCATCGTTCTAGCAAGAACGATATCGATACCATCGTTCTAGCATGAACGATTTCGATATCATCATTCTAGCAAGAACGATTTTGATATCATCATTCTAGCAAGAACGATTCCGAAATCATCGTTCTAGCAAGAACGATTCCGAAATCATCATTCTAGCAAGAACGATTCCAAAATCATCGTTCTAGCAAGAACGATTTCGATACCATCGTTCTAGCAAGAACGATTCCATTTGCATGAAAGATTCCGATTTTATTGTTCTTGCATAAACGATTCGGAACCCATCGTTCTAGCAAGAACGATTCCGATTTTATCGTTCTTGCATGAACGATCGCGAAATTATCATTTTAGCAAGAACGATTCGGGGTTCCATCGTACTAGCAAGAACGATTCCTTTTATCGTTCTTGCATGAACGATTTGAAATTATCGTTCTAGCAAGAACGATTTCAATACCATCGTTCTAGTAAAGACGATTTCGAATTTATCGTTCTTACATGAACGATCGCAAAATTATCATTCTAGAAAGAACGATTTCGATTCTATCATTCTAACAAGGACAATATCGAATTTATCGTTCTTGCATGAACGATCGCGAAATCGTTCTAGCAATGTTACCAAAACTTAAATTAGTCACTTACTATTATAGTAGTTATCATATCTTCTAAATAAATAAATAAATTAGTTTAATTTTATTTGTTAAAAAGGGCGTTTCCGATACATTACTTATCGTTATCGTTCTAGCTATTAACGTTAAGAAATTAAAAATTAGCGAATTTCCATGAATTTTTACGATTTGTAACGCTATTTTTATAAATATAACAATTATA